GAACCACAACAGCTGCAGCAGCCGCCGCAGCCGCCGCCGCAGCAAATCCAACTACCACAGAAGCAACAACTACAGGTGCAGCCACAGCAGAAGGAAACCAAAGGCTACTCTCGTAAAACGACACCGGCCGCAGATGTACCCGTTCACACACCAGATCCAGATGAACAACCAGCTTCCACAACGGTGACTGCACCTCCCAGTGTGGCATCAACCACGTCTATCCGCCGCAAGGCTTCTAGTATAGAACCCCAGCCATCTCTTGCATCAGATCGCCCTCGTCGCACAAGTACTGCTCGGAATACACCTGCACCAGACAAGGCTCCGGCAGAAACAACCATAACCACGCGGACGGCCGGAAAGCGAACTAAAAGACCAGCGCCAGGTGTCATTAGCCGGACTGTGAGCGGCGGCAATAGTGCTGTTGGGAAACGAAAAGCCGCGCCGAAGAAGAGCGCCCGCACCGGGAAGGGTAAAGACAAGGCAGCTGCGGAAGGTCGACAAGCAGCGGCGGCAGCAGCAGCAGCAACAGCAGCCGCCGCCGGCACCAAGAACGAGACGGAAGTCGAAGTGGATGATGAGGGAAACGTGATCGATCCCAACGAGCCGAGGTACTGCCTATGCAACCGTGTGAGCTTTGGGATAATGATTCAATGTGACAACGTTGATGTGAGTAAACAACCCAACGAGAAGAAGTCAACATCCAAGAAATCCGGCAAGGCCGCAGCAAGTCTCGGTTCGGCAACTTCTACGTCTGCTATGTCTATTTCCACAAGGTCCAAGCGAAAACAGGGAACAAAGGAGGATGAACAAGATCAAGAACAAGACGAAGAGCAAGCGCCCAACAAGGAAAATGAAGGAGAAAATGCAGAGAGCAATCCGTCTCAGACGGGAAAAAATAGGGTGAGAATCGCCCGGAGCTAGTGCTCAAAAAAGTCCGATGATGAAGATGCTGGAGAGAGTGGTGGAGTGAATCAGAACAACCGAACGGGACACAAGGCTAACCGCAATTTCCAACCACAGAAATGCCAGCAGGAATGGTTCCATCTCGAGTGCGTAGGACTCACCGCGATTCCGGCTAGGACGACAAAGTGGTATTGTCCCGACTGTCGCAAGGCGCTGAACATTGGCGAGAAGGGCGAAGTCAGTGCTAGAGGCATCAAGGCCTAGAGAGCTCGAGTACCGATGCTTAGGGAGCCAACTGAGGCATCGAAATAGGGATTGGTGGGATATTTTACCTCAGGTCTTGTTTATGTCCAGCGTTGGGTCAGGGTGCCTGCGTGATGGCAATGCATCGGAGCGTTGGTTTCGGTTGGAAGGCGCTGGTGTGTGGGCAGGCGTGTGGTAGCGCGTTTTGGCGTTCATCATCTGGCCAACCTGCCACTTGGATGGATGGTTGACTTCACTTTTCACCATGTTCGGTGATTAATCAATTTTGCGAAGCAGTATATTGGCTTACAGGCTTTAATAACATCGCTATGACAGATCAAAGCTGCTCGCGGTTCCGTTTATGGCTTAAGAGGAGGACTCTTGGACTAGATACCAGGCCTTGTTGTAGAGCGAAAGAGTATCCCATAGCCAAAGTTTAGCAGGCGAGAAAGCGGCAAAGAACATGTACAGGCAATGTTTATATACCAAATCATACCACACGTTGCGATGAATAAGTGCGGTGATGATCTTCAACGTGTGGTGCCTGCCAAGCCAGAACGACAATCGCGGGGATCATCGCCGAGATCAACGGAGCAAACGGGAACACAGTTCCATCCGTTCGGCGATCCACGTAAGGTCACGACGCGCAAACCTGCTTTTATTCACCAGGAACCATATTTTGCTTCGTTTCGCACTCCACGACCTCGCCTACGTACCTTTTTATACCGGAAAGTAGAGTACTTCGCTCCCTACCTACTCAACAGCATCATCAACCTACCACCGACAAAATGGCATCTCAACCCCACACCCACAAAGATCAAGATCAAGACCAGCAGAGCCCCTCCGGCTACGAACCAACCTTGCCCAAGGAGGTGGACCTCTCCCGCATCTACGCCTGTGACATCTCCCAGTTCATCACCCGCTTCTTCCAAGTATCCGACAACCCGGACCTAACAGAGGAATGGCTCAGCTTCTTTGGAGATAAAGCCAAGCTCGTGATGGGGACAAAGGTTGCTAAAGGGAAGGAAGGTATGTCCATACCCCACTCTAATATCTCTTTGCACTTCCGCCCGGTTGAGCTAGTGACTAAAAAAGCCTACATCTACACTACATAGAAATCCACACCCTGAGAAAGGGAATGTGGGAGAAAGTCAAGACTAGGAAACATACTGTTTACAAGGTTTTTCCGGCGCGGTTCCATCACCTTCAGCCTCGCACCAGTACCGGTGCCGGTGCCGGTGCCGTGGATGCGGATGCGGGTGATGATGATGATGTCCTGGAGTTTATGGTTTATGGATCGGTGGATTATACGTTGAGGGACACCGAGACAGGAGAGGAAGAGAAAGGGGAGAGGATGGATTGGGCGGCGCATACGGAGTTAATTCGGAGGAGTACCGGAACTGGTGTCGTTGGGCATGGTACTGGGCAGGGTACTGGGCATGGTACTGGGAATGGGGATGGGAATGGTGAAGCGTCGACGACGAAGGGAAATACGTCGATGTTTCTGTTTAACAAGTACAGAGTTTATTTATCTCCCAGTGTGGAGTGATGAAGGATACCTAAGGTATCTAGGAAAAGGGGGATTGCGAGGTGAAGGGAAGTGCTGAATTGGAGTTTGACGGTATGGATGAGTGGAGTATGGTCTGGTGTGGTAATAAGATCTGAATCGTCATCACTCTGTCTGGTTGGTACATTTTATAAACAATCGCCAGAGATCTTGCATTTTCAACACCTCGGATTCGTAATCTAGATACGGGACTGTTGTTACGAACCATGAGCAAGGACACGGCCAACGAAGCCGACCGGTACATAACAGCCACATAAAGGCTGGGCAGTGTAACCATGACAAAGAAAGGAAGGCTCATGAAGGCGAGCCATCATAGAAAGGCGCCAGGCTCATAGACGAGTCAGGCTCATAGAGACGAGCCAGCCCATAGGCAGTGAGCCAGCGCTAAGGGATTCACGTCTACGTGGACATTCCGGAAACTATCTCGCAGTAGGGGCGTGCAGGTATAAAGGGACTACGGGAGAAGGTATAAAGGGACTGCTGGAGAAACTCAGATTGTCAGATAGTTCAGACATATTCAATAGGTCTTTCACCGATACCAGTATTACGAGCATACTTGTTGTGAACTCTTGGCTTCACAACGACTCAACGATTCTGATAGTTACTACCTTCAGCTACTATCCCACTGGGAGATCAGTCTCCGTTCGTTACAACTGTCAAGAATGTGTTGAGTACCTGTGGGTGTGATGTATCAAGGCCTACTTTTATACACCCACTCTCCTACGAAGAGTGGGGAAAAAAAAAAATTGCCGAACAGTCTTGGCACGCAGACTTATTTTGCTTTATTAGCAATTCGCACCAAAACATAAATTATATAACTTGTTTGGGGGATAGCTCAGTAAGGAAGATCTGAGCTTGGTTTATCTTCAGTATCTTCTGAAAAGTCATAGTTTTGAATCCTGCTCCCCCTTACTTTTATCCGGTTTTTAAAAATTGGATAGAATCTTTCCCGCTTTCCTGGTCATAAGAGGCGTTAAAGATGATGTTGGGCTTACTTTAGTCCTTAGCTTATCTATGAGTACACGTGACTAAGCACGTATAGAAAGTTTCTTTATTGGGCTTAGTAATATAAGCTGCGGTATTACTAAGCTAACTAATAAGGATTTTTAGAATTAGAACTTTAATAAATCTAATCGACTAATTGTTATCTCTCTTACCAAAATTTCCGGCCTTACAACGCTTTACAGGCAGCCGACCAGCCAATCGGCAACGAAAGCCAGTATCACAAGTAAGACCCCTCGTCCTTCATCCCTAAACTCTGAAGATAGGATAAAAGAAAAATCACCTGGCGTATACTTGAGGTAACCAAAGTGTATGATAGAGGGAGGGGCGGCGTCTTAGTATACCAGCCAATCAGAAGTAACAAAGTTCACTAGGATGAAAAAAAGGGAGATAACGATAAGAACGAACGACAAACATTGAAGCTATCTATGACAGGCTAGGGTGCATATGCCCAGACGGCCAAACCTACAAAAGATAGGACGATGTTCTGCTTGCAAGGCAGAACTCGGAATGCACACTATATAGCCAATGTCAACCTGTGACAGATAAATAGAAGCACATCTTAGCGAATAAAATTACTAGCGCTAATAGTTGCTTTTATATACGTATTTTCAAGAAATATATTATTAAGACTAAACAAAACGCTAATTTTATCCCTCTTAATCTTACCCATCCGCTATAAGTAAATAACAGTAAGAAAAACTAACTTTTTTTTATTAATAAGCTATTCGTTCATATACTTGAGTTTATTAAGAGAATGCTTCGGAATATATTATTTATCAAGACAAGTTTACTTTTCCTTAGCGATAGTGTTAGATTTACTAGTATGAGTTATTTTATTTTATTAAATTTCTTTAAAAATAAAGACAATGATAATTAGGATGATAATAACGACGGCGATAATAATATTATAAATAAATTAGTATTTTTTATTTTCCCTAAGTTAATAGCGTTATTGTTAATAATGTTTTTAAGTAAGTTTTCAAATATAATAGTGCACCTAAGCGATCTTACCCTCGCAATTAGAGAATCTATATATATTTAAATCAATTAGCTAATCGGCGAGTGGAAGAGTAAATAAATTAAAATAAGAGATAAATAGAAAGGAGAGCTATCGTTAAAAGCACAACCTCTTTTATTTATACCTACACTAGCAATTGCACTAGCAACTACACTAGCGATTATATTAATACTTATAGTATTTTTCATATACCTGTTTAGAGTATCATAGATTTTCTTTTAGCGTAATCAAGTAGTTTATATTAAATTTATTACGAGTTTGGATGCAAAAAGAATTTTGCATTAAAATTTGTAACCGCATTTACTATGAGATTGCGACTGTTTTGATGTAATTTTATAATTTATAGGTACTAAGACTGTCTAGCAATTTTAGGCATCTGGCAATATTTTTTCATCATCCTCTATAGGAAGGTGGGTTTAAGTAAAATAGCCTTGGTACGAGAGCCAACCTCACATCCACGGGTGTAATATTTGCATTAAGGTATCTCAGATTTGATAGACTACGCACAAGGAGTCGAAGGGTGTTGAGATAGGAGTTTTCCGGATTGATTGAGGTAGAGGTAGGTACTAACACCACATACAGGTCCACAGGCCAATATCTGTTAGTACAGCAAGGCGGTACTAATAACACTTCATAAACGCTTGCGATTTGAAAGGAGTATAAGTATCTCTAGCTCACAATTCCCATACCTATGCTCTTTTTTTGACTACAAAATTCGAAAGAGTTCTATAGCCGGATGGGCCATTTTAGGCATTACCGCAAACCCCCGAAGTCTACTTACAGCACTGAACAAACCCCGCCTCCCTTTTCGATACGTAACTCCAGCAACCCACATGACAACGCCTGAGTGTCACCCGCCCAGCAGACGGCGGATAAAACAGACAAGACAAGGCACATGCAGCCGTTCAGCTGACTGAAAGCCCCCGGCCCCCTCTTGCCTTGTTCTTCTCCAGGTGTTCAGGTTTGAATGGCTGCCTTTCATTTGTCTGTATGCCATTCAGCCTGGCAAACTTGGGTCATCGGCGTCCGTTTGGTCTCTCGCTTTCGCTTGTCTACTATAGGACAAATCCTGCTCTGCGATCGAGAAGTTCGCCAGGCAGAGATCAGCTCGGTCACGGCTATCTATCAAAGAGTTTCGAAGCGGGGTATGCCTGCCAGGGGTATCGGCGAGGGACAAGCGAGAGAACCCGACGGCGACGACGACGACGGCCTCGCTGGGTGCGGGGAACGTCGAAGGGAACACAACGTCTTATACCTACCTACCTCAGCCAGCCGCGGATCAGGTGAGCGGCGTATCACAACCTCAACCTAGGATGACTCCTTTTGGGAGGTGTTATTAGAAGTGCGAAATCGGCCTGTTGATTGTGGAAGGGCCTCTTGCGTCCGAGGAGGGAATGCTCTGTACATGCGTACATAGCTGACACCAGTTTGCCAGATGAGCAATGTGCGTACCAATACGGACTGCCCTGTGAGGTTGTTAAAGCACCACCACCACCACCACCACCAACATCTGGCGTACATAAAGTACCTATAGTATAGGTATGATGACGTGATGTAAGACGACCCTCCTTTCCTTGACAACCCATCGATAGCAAACGGGAATCAAAGGACGTTGCGATAACAAGACAAAAGCCCGGAAGATGTGAGCCCGGCCATGTGAATGTGTGAATGTTTGAAAGACTTGAATACGCTTTGTAGATCAGATCCCGGAATGACCAAGACAAAGGCCATTTCGACCATGTGCCATCTGAGCCCAGCAGTCACCAGCCCCGGGCGGCTATATCAAAACTGCACCTTATATAGCATCCGGATGTTGGTAAAAGCCTGCCTTTAATAACGCTGGCATTAGTTGCCCGGGCAGTTCCTTGCGGTCATGAAATACAGATCCATGACCCATCCATCCTCATCGAGTATTGGAACCTATGACGTACTTTTCAGTGCTTGTGTCCGAGATGAAATGAACGACCCTACCACAAAAAGAGAACTGGTGGTCGTCACGAATCATGCCATGCCCATGATCAGCCACTTCCGCCATTGGAGGCTTATGGGAAAGCAGACCACCATCTCTTTCATCCGTCGCCACAAAGAAGGAGTCAGCTGGTCTCCAATTACAAGAATGTACAGGAGGACCTCTTAGAGAAGAGAAGAGAAACGCCGAAGGTCGGTGTGTGAAGTGAGTGATTAGGTGATAGATACCGAGCGGTGGGGGCACCGGGGAGGGACTGGGTATAGATCGCCCCGCCATCGGCGTCCATTCAGCGGTTTCATTGTAACATTGCCTTGCCAGGTACATGGGGGTACTTGTGCCTTGTTGTTGTTATGGAGATAGGGGCTCCCGTCTTCCCTCTGTCATGACCAGCGGTGGTTTCTTATCTCGGGACACTGGAGCCGTCACGCTATCCCGCTCACGGGTTGAACGTCACGAATGGAGTTCCAGCACCAGTGGGTGCCTCATGCCTCGTCCCTTTGCACCTGCATCACGCCCCACACGCCTGTACCACTCACGACAAGAGGAGCCTCGCTGAAGATCTCCTCGCCTTGCCCGCTTCCACTTCCACTGTGCTTGTCGTTGTCGTCTGCTGGAATCCCGACTCCCGAACCCACTGCCCTCTCTCACTGCGCCGGACTTTCAAACGACATCTTGCGAAACGGGCTGATAGACCGTAGGATATCCCAGGTCGTGAGAGCCAAGGCCGCCTTAACTGGACCCGTGTGTGGGTTCCGCTCTTTCTTATCCCGTACCCAGCTGTTCATCGCAGCCAGTAGCCGGCCTCACAGTGCTCAGGTTCCCGGGTGACTGGTCAGTCTGGGTCAGTCAGGAAGGTCCTCACCCTCACCGCCCAAGGTACCTCCCTCTACCTTTGATACCTCTAGGTACCATCGAGTGTAGGCAGGACCTGGCGCCAGGCACTGTCCAGCAAGGTGTAGGCAGTTACTGGGTGATCCTGGCCGTTGACCCGTAGAGGGGGCTGTTGACGTCGGCAGTCACCACCTCTCTGACTCCTCCTGCATTGCTTCAGTTCACTTCCATCCGACCTCTTCTCTTTACACAACATACCTAATCAACTACGCTTAGACTACAAACACACACACGTGTAGATACCCAGCTTCGACTTTCATACCAGGAACAACAGCACCGAATTTCCGACCAGTTACTGTCACGAACGTTCAACGACTAGCATACGCCGGCGACTTTCTCTTTGCTTTGATCACGACTCCTCACGAAACCTACACAGGCTGCTTTTAATCTAACGACCATCTGTAATACCGCGTCACTTTCTACTGCCGCTTTATTTTCTCTCTGGCATTGAATTCATCCCAATTGCTATCTGTCTATCTGTCGCAGAGTTGGCTCTGCGATTACACTCCTTTGTCCCCCGGTACCTGAACAACACCACAACTCCCGGACACAGCCCGGCGCTCAACTGCCTCGACGCTCTCGAATATCACCGCTCGAATTCGCCAATAGCTTTCCTGTATTACGTCTCTCCGAGCATACACCGTACATCCCACGTATAACCCTCCAGTGTACCGAGTCTCTTCAACGTATCCGTACCTGCCGAATTCATCCTCTGAACACCGGCCACTCGTGTCTCTGCGTGCCTTGAAAGCTTCCGACGCTTGTTGCTTCTCCCCCCCCCCCCCCTTCTCCCCCCCCCCCCCCCCCCGGGCAGGAACCTGCTCGACCCCTCCCGAGTTGCCATTCATGCCAGGTTCGTTGCGCTCCTTGAAACGACCGGGCTGACTCCTGTGATGTTCTAACATAAGGCCCTGGTAGCCTCTAAGAAAGACCGGAAGAATGGCAAGGAAAGTGGCGGAGTGGTCGCAGCGGTGACGAAACAGGGCGCCAAGTTCTCGTGGGTTCCCCTCTTGTTCAACGGATGATCTCCTGTGCTTAAGTGCCCGTCACCACTTGGACTGCTTGATCTAATCATCAATTACCGTCTTAGAAACACGAACGACCCCAAAGACGCCTTGTCCAGTCCGTCGCCGACCCCTACCCCGATATCAGCAGTGACGATTCCCGATAGCATGTCTATCGCACCCTCTCCCCGGGACCGACTCACCTCCCCCTATCTTGACGCTGTCTCCACAGCTTCGTTCGCAACAAGCCCCTCGCCGAACGCTAGGGAATGGATAAAGAACCTGCCAGCCATGGCAGGCTCGCCTGGGAATCTTATTAGTTTGGCAGGCGAGTCACCTCCTACGGCTCCCTCGTCATATACTCCTTCATCGTTTGAAGACACGCGCGGCATGTCCTCTGGCTGGTCTTCTCCCAGGCCTCCCAGCAACCTCTATGCAGCCTCGGTATCGCCTCCGACTGCGGGCCGCCGGCCGATGAGTTTCCACATGGCTAAATCCCCTGCGGAGCTTCACGGACACTTGGGCGAGCCAGAATCTAGGAGAAACTCAATGCACTCGCATTTTGCGCGTGCTGGGAACCCGCCGCTGCCTCACCAACCGCAACCCCACTTTTATGCTGCCCCCGACTTTAACCTGGACACCCATCGCCATGACGGCATCAAGGCGGGTGAACGAGGATACTATTTTGGATACGACACCATCGCCTCTCCATCCCTGGACCATGTCATGAGGAACGACAAGGTCGTCTTGGCTGGATACGAAGGGGGTTTAGAAGTTCACAAGCTGACAAAGGGAGGTCGTTTGGAACCCTTTGCGAGTTTGAAGGGATTGCGCGGAGGCGTGTATCACGCCACGGTTCTACCTTGGGTAGCTGCGCAAGCGGACATCTTTCCGCTGATAGCTGTTGTTGTTCATGGTCCCGATCTTCCTCCTATTCAGTCAGCTCCTGGCTCGGCTCCCAAAACCGAGGGCGACTATGATGCCGTGTCTAAGGATAGGTCCGAGGCCATGGCTAATGTCCCACTTGATACTCCTAAGGATACGTCTGGTGATAGGGCAACGCCTGGTTTCATAGAGTGTTATCAGACGACCGTTGAGGTATACTCGCTGAAGACCAACAAGTTAGTCGACATTTTACTCGAAGCACCGAAAATCCCCTTGAAAACTTCAGTTCTCAGCCCGATCTTCCAAGCGCCCCTCCCGTCTGGTGCTTTCCACATCCACGCAGATGGTGGAAATGTGGTCATATCGTCTGGAGTCACTGGCGAATGCTGGGTGTACCAGCAGGTGGTAACGGACGAACCCGCGCCGCGTTTCGTTTGCCAGGGCAAGCTTTGGACAACACTCCAACAGACCCCGAGAGGTAGTGAGGGATCGCAGGATTTGGACCGGAATTACACTCCAGTGCCGCCTCGTCCATGGCCCCAGACTGCAATTCTGAGCGTCAGAGGCAAATGGATGGCTTACTGCCCGGCTACGCCGTCTTCGCAGATAAGTCTTCGAGCGACTGTTCCGGTGCCAATCTACGGTCGGGCACCGAATCTATCTTCGCTGACGCCTGGTCAGCTGCCACCGGCTTCTTCCGAGATTGATCTTCCGCTGGGCGACAGTGTTGTGAACAAGATTGTGCGAGATGCGACCCAGGAGCTTATTCAAGGTGCCAAATGGGTTGGTAAGCAGGGTTGGCAGGCTTGGAACAGTTACTGGAACCCGCAAGCAAATCTAACCAGCCGATCTCCTGTTCTCGCCCCTCAAAGCTGGGGAGGATCTGCCCAGCCAGACCCTTCTCAGTTTCCTCCGACACATGGTGCCATTACTCCGCCAGTCGTGAAGGATCCGAACATGATCTCTATTGTGGATTTAGAGACACTGTCTTCATCCACCACTGTCCATCCGGTTACCAGCTTCCACATTTCCCAGGGCTGCAGCTTCCTGTCTTTCTCTCCTTCTGGCTTGTCTCTCTTCACCGCCAGCTGCAAGGGAGATGTCCAGACTGTCTGGGACTTGATGCGTTTGCAGTGCACCAAATCGTCGCCCTTGCAGGGTGCTGGCTTGTCTGCTACGGGAGGCCCAAGGGTACGCCAGGTCGCGCAGTTCTCCCGTATGACAGTGACACGTATTGTTGATGTGGCCTGGACCAAGCCAAATGGTGAGCGCATAGCCATGGTAACGGAACGTAGAACCGTTCATATCCTGGATCTGCCGACAAGCGCTTTCTCGTGGCCTCCTCCACGTCGCCGGGTCAGGCCGAGTGAGGCAACAAACTCGGTCTCGGAAGGAAATTCCGCGGTCGCGATCGCTTCCAATGCCTTGAGCTCGGTTCGTGAAGTTGCTCGGCCACTCATCAGCCGCCCACGCAGGACTAGTAGTAACGGACAGCTGGTAGGATCTGGAATTGGCGACTATGCAACACATGGTGGAAAGGTTATCGCTGCAAGCATCAGTCATTCTCTCGGCAAAACTGGACATGCCCTCAACCAGTTGAGGCACACTGGAGAAAACCGAGTGTCCCTACCAACCAGCAACTCCGCTCCAGGGGCGTCATGCGTGACGTGGGTGACGGGCAAGAGAGGTCACTTGCTCTATGTTCTGGGCAACGGCCTCGTACGCTCTTTCGCGGTTACGAACCGAAGGGCATCTGGAGGCGAGAAACGGGCTCCACGACTTTCTAGGTATAAGGATGTGAAGGTTCCTTTGATGCCGGACCTCTCCTTGGCAGCCCGCGCAAAGGCCTTCATTGATCAGGAAGAGTACTACGAGTTCACGGAGAGGGACCTCGATGCGGGCAATGAGACGATGGTCCTCGATCGACATCGAGCAATGGCAAAGGTAACCAATCTCGCCATCCGGTCATCGATCCCCCAGGCGGAGATAGAGTCCAGTGCGCCGTATCAACCCTTCCACACTGATCGGCGTGTTGCCCTATACGAGCTTGAAGACGGGTCGGGCGTAGCATCTCTTGACGACTCGGTTGTTGAGCCTGGTCAGAAGAAAAAGAAGGGCCCGCGAACTTCACTACCCGAACATGACAACTCACAGTCAGGAGCCTTGCAGGCATGGGCTTTCGGCGGCAGAATCCAAGGAAGAAAGCTGAATTTGGGATTGCACCAGTTGGTTGAGGACGACTTCATGTCCAACGACGATCTGAGGGCTCTGCCTCCTTCAGCGATGGAACGAGTCCTGGAACGGGACGGGGACACAGACCAAGTCGTTGTCACGACGCGTAGGAAGCGTGGGGTTTCCCGGTTGACGGCCCAGGACTATGACGGATTCTTTGAGGATGATTGCGAGGTGCTCGATTTTGCGGACCAGCGGGTCTGAGAAAATCCAGGAACAGTTGTTCTTTCCCCACGGGCGTAGTGTGTACTTGCTTGCTTGAGTTCGTTTACGGGTTCTGCTTTGCTGTTTACGGTGATGAGATCAACGACCTCAAATAAACGAATCAAAGAGAAAACTTTGGAATAACGATCAATCTTGGCTTATTCACATCTGCCATTAGTGGCTCTGCTTTGGAGTCCACGTCTCCTGCTGGCGCTGGGATGGAGATTGGGTACCGGCTTTGTTGGAGATGGTTGTGCTGTGAGCATGCAACTTTTGATATAGAACACTGGGCAAACAACTGGGTTGCTACTTTAGTAATTAGCATAAACGGAAACCAGCAAAGCGAATAAGGAACAAATAAAGACTAACACCATTGGTCGTGGCCCTTTGTGATAGCATGTGACAGTGTGTGCTACAGAGTTTAAGGAACCGAGAGTGCTTCTCCTGCCATCCTAATACGTATGAAAGGAGAATTTACGGGCCAATTGCCAACTTCCACATAGCCCCTTTTCAGAGCAAATCGGAGATGCACCCAAGTAACCGGAAACAGTACCCTTATCCCACATGCTTCACGATCTCGTGCCATGGTGCCGTTTCAAACCTTTCCCCTTTCAAATTTTCGTTCTCACCTAGTATAGGTATATATATCTTTGCATCTGCTTCTAAATCCACCTGACGCTCCCCAAGGTCTGGCCCAAACCCCAAAGCCCGTCAGCCGATTTGCGCTTTGCGCCTGTCCTAGCCTGTCCTGCATTGTCCAGGCACAGAAGCAAGGCAACTCTTTTACCGCTTACGCCTTCTTCTTGGCCGCCGCGTTAGCCTTGGCTGCCTTCTTCCTGTTGCTCTTGATCATCACCATGCTCAAAAAACGTGCCGATGACGGTGGCGCCCAGGATGATGAGGATCACGGGGATGCGGATGGCCCATTCGCGAGCGGGGAAGACGTTTTGGAGGGGGTGGTCCGAGTCGACGAAGGGCTGTTTTGTTTTAAGCGTGTGTTAGTTTCCATGTCTTGTTGGTAGGTAGGTAGGTAGGTAGGTAGGTAGGTAGGTAGGGGAGGAGCTTCTGGGGTCTGGAAGGGCGTTCGTTGTCTAGCCCAGACGAAGAGAAGCTTGGGGTTGGGGAGCCTTTTATGAACCAACGCACCATCAACAACGTCCAAATGGTGTAGTAGAGGAAGACGAAGGTGGCAGCCACGAGCATGGCGAGGCCTACGAGTTTGTCGAGCTGTGAGGGTTCGGAAGATTAGGGGTTAGCTGGGTGTCTCGTCCATTGGATTTGGCTTTGCGGATTTGGATGGAATAAACCCCAAGCTGGCGATTCAAACGTACCATTGTCGATTGATCGAAAGGTTGTTTAAATGAGTGACGTGGTAGTTGGACAAAAAGGTGGTTTGGTTGTGGGAACGGAAATAAAAGATGATGTACGTGGTATCGTGTGTCGATGTTGAACAATTGACACCTTGAGTGACGGAGATAGGGAACACCGAAACACCTGCAGTTCAGCACTAACAGCGACCTGGCCACTACGGAAAGCTCCAGCTGCCGTCGCGACCCGTAGCGTCACTGTTTTAAGGGTGGCGCGTTAAACACCCCAAGCGGCTCGCTGACGTTTAGTGGGCCCTGATGGCTTCCTCAGAACTCAGAAGGGGAACAGCCCCACTCTTTTAGCGTTCTGGCCACTAAACTCCACACCAGCCTCGTCAAGTTTTGGTTGTGCGGCCACTCCCGTCACGTCTCACGGTCCCAGTTGCCTTTCCTTTTCCTGCCTCGTCGTAAACTCGTGGTTGCAACTTGCGCGAGGCACCAGCCGTGGCTTGCAGTTCCTGACTCTTTCTTTTCTTACATCTGGATTACCCTTTTTGACGATACACTCGCTGTCACACGCAGAACCTTTCAGGACCCGACAAAGCTATTGACGAGATCGCGGAGACGCCAGCTCAACATCCAGCATATCGAATACCTGGTTTGGACGAAATAAAACAGAGACAAGGATAATCTTGACGATGGCTTCGGCAGACAACGTGTCTCCGTCGCGTAGCCATCCCGACGACGATGACCGATCTCCGTCTCCTAGACCCCAGTCACCTTCTCCCAAGGACGAAGACGGCTCTCGATCCCCCGGTGAACGCACACCCTCACCTCCCCCCCGCGATCCGTCACTCTCTCGATCAGAAGGCGAACGCACACCTTCGCCATCTCCTCGTCGTGATCGCTCGCTCTCCCCAAGAGATCGGTCGCTCTCACGCCCACGATCCCGTTCGCCTACACCCAGTAGCCAATCGCCTCCCCGACGCCCTGTCCGCTCGCCATCTCCGAGAGATAGCTCACCGGCGCGCCGTCATGACCGATCACCCTCCCCTCGGGCACGTTCGCCGCCGCCACGCCGCCATTCCCGTTCTCCTCCGCCGAGACGACAATCCCCTCCTCCGCGCCGTCGCGATGCCGGTGACGACTATAGACTGGCAAAGAAGGAGCGCAGCCCGACACCACCCCCTGCGCCCGTCAAGACCGAGGAAGAAAAGCTGGCCGACGCCAGAGCAGAGTACCAGAAGCTCTTGAACCTACGCAGTCAGGGTGTCTACCTACCGCCGCACAGGCTTCGTGCCCTCCAGGCCGCCATCACCGACAAAAAGACCAGAGAATACCAGCGTATGGCTTGGGAGGCACTGAAGAAGTCTATCAACGGTCTGGTCAACAAGGTTAACACTGCCAACATCAAGTTTGTAGTCCCCGAACTCTTTGGCGAGAACCTCATCCGTGGCCGCGGTCTGTTTTGCCAGAGTCTGCTGAAGGCCCAGCATGCCAGTTTGCCCTTCACGCCCATCTATGCTTGCTTGGCTGCGATTTGCAACACCAAGCTGCCCCAGGTCGGCGAACTGCTTGTCAAGAGGCTCATCCTGCGTTTCCGCAAGGCGTTCAAGAGAAACGACAAGGCAGTTTGCCTCTCGTCGACCATGTTCATTGCCCATCTTGTCAACAACCAGGTTGCCCACGAGATGGCTGCTGCCCAGATTTTGCTGCTGCTGCTTGCGAAGCCTACCGACGACAGTGTCGAGATCGCTGTCGGCCTCATGAGGGAGGTCGGCTTGTTCTTGGAGGAGATGTCCCCGGCCATCGCCCATGCCGTTTTCGACCAGTTCCGAAACATTCTCCACGAGGCTGATATCGACCGTCGTACGCAGTACATGATCGAGGTGCTCTTCCAGGTGCGCAAGGACAAGTACAAGGACAACCCGGTTATCAAGGAGGAGTTGGATCTGGTCGAGGAGGAGGATCAAATCACACACCGGATCGGGCTCGACGACGAAATTGACCCGCAGGATGGATTGAATGTGTTCAAGATGGATCCCAACTGGGAGGAGAATGAGGAGGAATACAAGAAGCTGAAGGCGGAGATCTTGGGCGAGGCCAGCGACGACGAGGAGGGCGATTCCGATGACGAGTCGGAAAGCGAGTCAGAATCGGAGGACGAGGAACAGAAGGCGTTGGAGATCAAGGACCAGAGCAATACAGACCTCGTCAACCTCAGGAGGACCATCTACCTCAGCATCCAGTCGAGTGCCGACCCTGAAGAAGCGGCACACAAGCTCATGAAGCTGCGCCTCCCTGCCGGCCAGGAGGCCGAGTTGGTGTCGATGATTGTTGAATCATGCGCTCAGGAGAAGGTCTACCTGAAGTTCATGGGTTTGCTAGGAGAGCGGTTTGCCCGTCTGAACAGGATGTGGATGGATTTATTCGAGGAATCCTTCGCCAAGTACTACTCCACGATTCATCGATACGAGACCAACAAGCTTCGCAACATTGCTAGGTTCTTTGGCCATCTTTTGGCTACCGACGCGATTGGCTGGCACGTTTTCTCGGTTATTCACCTAAACGAGGAAGAAACGACGTCCGCTAGCCGTATTTTTATCAAGATCCTGTTTGAAGACCTCCAGGAGAATATCGGCTCGGCAAAGTTGAAGGCTCGCATGAGTGAAGAGACCCTCCAGCCCAGTCTGCAAGGCATCTTCCCCCACGACGAACCGCGCAACATTCGCTTCTCTATCAACTACTTCACCTCCATCAAGATGGGTTATCTCACCGACGAGATGCGCAGTTTCCTGGCAAACATGCCAAAACCCGCCCTGCCAGCGCCCCCAGCGGACTCCGATTCCGAGTCGGTGTCCAGCTACTCTTCCTATTCTTCCTACTCATCCCGTTCTCGCTCCCGCTCACGAACGCCTCGGAAGGATACCCGCGGGCGTTCGCTTTCGCGCACTCCTCCTCGTCGTGCCAGGGGCAGATCCTACAGCCGGTCACCAAGCCGGAGCAGGAGTCGCAGCCGTAGCTACAGCCGCTCCGTCTCTAGGTCTATCCCGCGTTCTCCTCCTCCAAGGCGGAGGGCAGCGGACTCTCGGTCTCTTAGCCCGCCTCCCCGCGGCCGTGGTCGTAGTTACGACCGATACTCTCGCTCACCCTCGCGCTCGCGCTCTCCTACCCGCTCCCCAGCGGCGGCACCCATCCGCCGCGGTCGTTCCGGAACCCGAAGCCGTAGCAGATCATACTCTCGCTCGTCATCACCCCCGCCTGCTCGTGGTTATCCCACCCGCGGTCGCCCCCCTGTCAGCAACAACGACAGAGCTGTCGCCGCCGCTCCCAGCAAGCGTCGCAGAGAAGGGTCATACTCGGCAAGCCGCTCGCCACATCCTCCTCCTCAACAACGTCCTCGTCGAGGGAGTTATAGTCGGTCGCGATCGAGATCTCCGATACCAATCAGAGGCAATGGGCCGAGGGGTAGGGATACAGGACGGGGTGGCCCACTCCCCTCTCGTGGTGGCGGGCGGGACCGCTCATACTCAAGATCGCGAAGCCGGTCACCTTTGCCGCCAGCCAGTGCCGAGGGGTCCAGGAGAGCTATCAGCAGGTCACCGAGCCCGGTTGTGGGGAACAATAAGCGGAGGAGATCGTATAGCAGTTCTAGGTCGGGGTCTAGGTCGAGATCTAGGTCACCGGTCGCTAAACGGGGAAGAGTTGATTAGAAGACATCTCACCGCCAACGTTAATAAGTGATGCTGAAGGACACGACACAGGGGTTGATGGGAGGGAAGGAAGGAAGGAATCAAAGAAGGGAGCAGGTGAACATTGTTCAATTGAAATATAGAACAAGCTACGAAATGTGTGTATTGATACCAGCAAGCATTTGTTGTGAAAGAAAAGAACGAGAAGGCGAAAGAAGAAGGGCTAGTAGTAGTACCAAGGCAAGAATGAAATGAAAAAGCGAAGGACGATTGCGGTCCCGTTGGAATTCGAGACAAGACGTGCTTCTTTGGCGTGATATTACATCACGATCGATGAATTCACTATAAGATACCACACATACAACGGCTTCAGACAAAAAGGGGGGTATGATACTTTCTAACAATGCTACTTTTACCAGCTATAAACTCAACCAGAGCTCCATCAAACAAATGCCAAACTCCTCTCTACCAAACCTATCACCTTATAGAACTTGAACCTGTTGTTATGACCCAGGCAAGCGAGGACGAAATGGATACTAACCACTAACCAACTCACTCTTGGGATAACTCGTCGTAGTCTCCAACGATTCGACCGCCGTCTCTGCGCCATTCTCTCCCTGAACAGGAGCCGGCGCGGCCTCTTCAACCGTCTTCTTCTCCTCCTCGTCTTTCTTCGCCTCAGTAGCACCAGCGCCAAAAACCGAAGCCACAGCCGCACCCACAGCTGCAACAGCGGCTCCAGCAGCCCCGGTCTTCAACTTGTCAGCAGCAGCCGCCGCCTGCGCCTTCAACTCCTTCTTGCTCAACTGCAACGCCCCCTTGGCCAACGCCTCCTTGGGCAGCGGGCGGATGATGGGCTGAACCACCCACCAAGGCCTCTTATTCTCTCGCCTGGCTTTCGCCGAAGACTCCGGGTCGTTTTGGGGTTCTTTCGTCTCCTTCATCAGCTTCTCCAGTTCATCAATGTCGAATGATGCCCCGCCGGTGCGTTCGTACTCGAGAAGTCCCTGGGCGACCTTGCGCTCGACTTGCGCGAGGATGGCTTCGTATTTGAGTATATCAGCGCCGTTACGGGCGCGGGCGAGCATGTCGCGGACGTCGGTGTGCGTGGTGACGAAGTGTCGGAGGAGGTGGAAACAGTGGGGTTGCATGGAGACGAGGTTGGGAGAAGTTTGGAGGGTTTTCGGGTGGAGGTGGGGGGTTTGTGGTGTCCGTGGATGTGGCGGAAGTGATGGTGGTTGTGGAGGGAGTTGAAGCGGTGCCATTGGCGGACTTGTGTTTTTTTCTTGGTGGTTCGCCGCTGTTGTTTTGGTTTTGTGTGGCTGTTGTCGTCTCTGTGGGAGTGGTGTCTTCAAGCCAAGCGACATCATCACCTGGCATGAACAGCGGTCTCCGTACCGGCGGCTCCTGCTCCAGGACGTACTTGTAGATGATATCCAGGTACCGCCTCAGCACGGCGTCGACGCGCCAGCCGCCCCGGCTGCCATCCTTGCTGCGCCAGTACTCCCTCCCTTCCTCGCCCACGGCGGGGGGCTTCGCAAAGAGACCCGGGTCACTGAGGTTGCCTTCAGCGCTCATGACGCCGTCGGCGCCCGTGGCCTCTAAGCACTTCTCTAGGTCGGAATATTGGAGAATGTTTCCATTCGCGAAAATGACCGTCTCCTTGGGCAGGTTCTCGCGCAGGTAGCGAATGTACTCCCAGTTAGCCAAACCCGTCTGGTGGCCCTTTTGCTCCCTTCGTCGGCCATGCACCGTGAGGATGCTGGCGCCGGCGCGCAGCACGTTCTGGGCGTACTTGAGGGTGGCCTCCTTGGTCTCGAGGATGCGGATCTTGGCCGTCACGGGGATGTCGAGTTCCTTGTGCAGGGTGTTGATCAGCTCGAAGATGAGCTCCTGGTTCTCTTGCAGGAAGGAGCCGTATTGGCCGCGCTTGGCGATACCCTGTGGGCAGCCGAGGTTTAGGTCGACGGCATCGCAATAGGGAGCTACGAGCTTCGCGGCGGAGAGCAGGTAGGACGGGTCGTTGGCGCAGAACTGGACGAAGAGGGAACGGTCGATCGAGGGATTACCGTCGAGGAAGGGAACGTAATCGGGCGAGCCCGGGCGCGGGCTGTTTTCGGTGAGAGGGCCGCGGATCGGTTGGTAATGGGAGTCGCGGTATTTTGGTGCTTCGGTGAACAGTCGCGCGTGGAACATGGGCGTATAGCAAAGGAGCTTATGTTGCTCTTCGGTGGGCAGGAAGGATCGGGTCAGCATGCGCCAGACCTATCATGGAAACCAAGAAACTTGTGGTTAGTCGGACGGTTTTGTGTAAATTGTTGTTCGTCACTGGACAGTCCAAGAGGACGCAAAACTCACAAACTCAGACTGGTCCACCATAGGAGCAACGATGTACTTCGGGCTACCGATGCTCTCGTAGAAAGCCCTGCCATGAAGCTTCGTCTTTTTGGGCACTTGGGGTGTCGTGGTCGCATTGCCCTCTGTTGCGCTCAGGCTGGCAGCCGCAGAGGCGGCCGAAGGAACTGCTGTCGCAGAAGGGGAAGTCATCGTGGCAAAGGACCTGAACGATTGACGATGGTGGAGGAACAGCCTCCTAGCGAGTACGGAAAGGGAAGCCACGGTGGTGGCAGGTTGTATACTTCCTTGAGCAACACGCCTCTGACCTTTTCAAGAAAAAAGTTTACTTTTGTTTACAGGGCAACTTGCATCAAAATTTAGGCCTTCTCCGCAAGGCTGACGGCTTATCAGATTTGGGGCAGTGACCACCGATAATGATTGGTTGCCCCGCAATTCTCCCCACGAACAGGAGAATGCAACACCGAGCAAGGGTCAACCCTTCACGAAGCGTGGGGGTTGGGGAAAGTCTGAGGCTCTGAGCAAGATTGTGCATTGGTTCTTGAACCAACCACAAGAAAGCGTCAGATAGCCAAGAACTTCCCCAACTGTAGCCTCGGCCATTCCCCAAAACATCACGAGTCCAATCCCATTTTCGCGTTTCGCTATCATAGCTTCCGACTGTTGTTGTCTTCCGGTCCGCATATTCACTGAATATTCGAATGATACCATGGGATTCGATCTCATAGCTCTTTTGCAACGCCAATTTCAAAGTTATTTGCAGAAGTTCGGGGCGCGTTCCATTCATTGCCTTGCAAAGATACGATCGTATCTCTGCGGTCCTCTTCAACTAGTATGGTAATTAACAAAGATGCCATGTGCGGCTGTGACACACACAGAAAAAGGAGTTTTCAAACAACTGTCAAAGACGAGTTTTTCAGCCGAAAACCTGGCCGTGATTGTCTCAGCGTTAAGCAGCAGCTGTTCCAGATACATATCAAAGCATTCAGCCCTTCCTTTGTCTGTTTTTTTTCGCCTACAGCTGTTTGGTGGTCATACATGAATCTGATCTCTTTGAGGGAGAAGTTGGATCTGATAAGTCTCAATAAGCTTTCTCTTGGCATGCTAGCATGCGCTGGGTCTCGCTAAAGAGAGTGCAGTAGTGTCAGGTACGTTCAGGAACAGCCGTCGAAGCTGAAGATCATTTTGGGAATGGAGCATGCAGGCGCTTTACTTCTAATACCAACACTTAATAAACCTAAATGCCACATGTTGAATAGTTGAGCTTCTCAGTTTGAGGTCCTATTCGGTTTAATATTTCTGGAGGCTGGGAGATTATTTCTCCATGTAACTGCTGGTGGCTCCGGGCCAAACAAAACTGACACCGACGAGAATGTAGGAACCGTTGTCAACCACTTGGACAAGACCGATTCAAATTTTAGACTGCAAAAGATTCCGCTGGTTTGCTTGATAACTAAGTAAGATAAAAATGCTTAAGACATACGAGAGAAAAATCAGAGAGGCAAACTATGACTGGCAAAACAATATCAACCTGGGAGTCCAATAAGCAAAGAAGATGCCACAATCTCAATATCAAATCGCCGTAACGCTTCCTGTCGGATTCAACATGCTGTGCTGGCCTGAAATGATCCAGTTGTAGGTTTGCTATGACGCACGATCTTGACTCTCTTCTCTTCCCGAAATAATCAAAGTAACTGAAAACAAAATGCCACACCCACTCACTAGAAGAGATTTTGTTCGAATTTGTCGCTTTTCCATATCACCCCGCTGTGGGCCGAATTGGACCCAGACTCAAACACCAGCTGCCTCAAGATAGCTCGAAGATGACCAAGGAGACGCTTGCTCCTCTGAACATTTTTCTTCGTTTGCGTGACCTCCAACATATCGAACAGCGAATCGCACTCCACCTCTTTTTGTTGTACTTCGAGCAATAAACCGCCTCAAGCTTTCTGTCTAACCGACGCCCCGGGGAAACGCCCGTGTCGTCGTTGTCGCCATCGGCCCAGCGCGAGTAGTCCAAACAAGGAGTGGTCGATGCCGTTTCCTACGCCCATTCACACACCAGAAAGTCGCTCACGACAGCAACAAAGACACAGTCGTCCGTATACACCACCATGCAGCCAGCTACCGCCTCATTTTCAAAAGGAAAGATTAGGATACTCTTGAGTGAGTCTAGAAGCAAAACAGCCCTGTTGAGAGCGACGAATTCCAGATAACGCCATAAACACCAAACAATGCTCTTTGCTGAGAGAAAAAGGAAATGCCTCGGAAACGAGAATTATGGGTGAGATGCAACCGCCGTAACGTTGGACTCGTTAGAAGAAGTGCGTGTAAATTTTGGAGTTCTCGTGAACTTCCATTTCCTAGTAAGAGAGCAAAGGTAAGCATACGGCGAAGGCGAAACCAACGATCAACAAGACCTACCATCTTGAAGCTGTTGAGTTCTTCCTTGATTTGCTGGGCCAGCACAGGTGTCAAGCGATTGCAAGTGGCGATTTCGCCGCGGCGATCGTACTCCTGGCTAGGCCACGTCTCGTAGAAAGCGATCCGTGGGCTGAATGTTGCAGATCGCTTCATGGATCCCTGGGGCGTCCCAGGCGCGCTCTTGGTGTCCTGACGAAGGCGGAGGGCTGTCACAAAATAATCCTCGTTGCCAATCGGAACCTGGCCAGCTCGGTCTTCGTTGTTGGGCGTGCTGGGAGCACTGGAGTTAGGAGAGTCAGTGATGGCACTTGGGGCATCAAGTCCTCGGTTCTCCGTAGGCCGGGGTGATGGGCTCGGCGAGTTGCTGTTGGTGTCTGTATCGATAGCTAAGTCAGCAGCAGCTAACAGGCGTAGTCCATGGAGGAGCCTTACGTTTCAGAATTCCCTTGCGGACTGCAGCAAGCACTTCAGCCCTTTCCCTTTCACCGCCGATAATGCTCTTCCTTGCAGCTGAGCCATCACTACCCAGGCTTCCCGCACGGTCCGTCACAAGACCTGGCGTTCTGCTAGCATCGAGAGAATTCCTTTCGAGGCGGGGGAATCCGGTACCGCCTCCACTCTGGGAACGAACATCAGCGTTGACATTGACTCTTTCCCTTTCAGCCTCAACAGTTATCATGGACACCGCAGCCTGCGAAGCGTCTGGCGCCTTTGCGTCGGCAGCAGGGACACCAATAACAGACTTGGGTCTGAACAGTCCAGCAAGTGACCTGGTGCTCTTCTTCATGCCACGTCCCATCTTTCGAATCATAACCGAAGCAGAGGACGCGGTCGAGGAGATGGAGAGGTTGTCGGTCGAGCCCCCAAATATCCTTGGCCCATAGATGTTGCTCCCAATACCAGCTGCCTCTTGCTGTGCTGCGATACGGGCCTGCTCAGCATCCAAAATCTCATCGGGGTTCCGATCCTTGTGCAATTTAGAGGGGCCATTCTCGGCGTCCTGATGATAGACCGCTTTCCTGAACTCTGCCGCACTGCCGAATGAAAATGCCCGACGCAGTCGTGACGTCTTGCTCTTGGGCTTGTTGTCGTTCTGACTGAGAGCAGCTAGTTGCTTCGCAGCCGGGCTGTCAACCCGCGGCGAGGGGGTAGCCTTTACCGGCGATGCCGAGCGACCGGCGGTGGCACCAGCGTTCGCGTTGGGCACGGCCTTAGTGTCCATAGCCACGGGTTTAGAGAGAGGAGAGGGGTTAGCAAGACGTTTCGTGTTGGTAGCATCGGAAGAAGACCCTCTTGGGGGGATGTTGACAAGTCGAGCGTGATCTTGGCCGTTGCTGTGATGTTGTTCTGGGATAGAAGAGTGGGCGGGGTTTCCAGTGGGGTTGGCCACATTGGCGCTACGGTTGGCAGACTGGGAAGGAGAAACCCTGAGTTAGCGAATCCTACAGGACGGCTGCACGTATGATTGGACAATGTTTAAATGGGGGGGCGTGGCAATGGATAAGTATCCGGAAGTAACTTACAGATGCTGGGCGGGTTCCACTGCTAGCAGTGCTGCGGCTCGACGAACAGCTATCAGTACTGCTGGTGCGTGTATGAGCAGCAACTCGATCAACACTCAAGTTGTTGACTGTTCGTCCAGACGATTTGATTTCCCTTTCGTTAGTCATTCGTGGCTTCGAAGACATGTCGGCGGGCTGAGCAGCGTAGAGGGGAGTTAAGGGCATCCCAAGACCGGCGGAGTCCAATGCAGGCATGCTGCGTCTCCTGGCTCTCTTGACGTCCTCCCGCACTTGACCATGAGGGAGAAGCATGTCATCGACCGCTGAGCCCCCCGATGAACCTACGAAGCTATTTGGCCGGTGTGACACCGATCCGTTTGGACCGCGCAGCATACCGCTCTTTTGCTCCGACGTGTTTGACATGGTTGATTCATTCGCTCGTTGTGCTGGCCGGCGATACCTCTCTGGCGACACCTTCGCAGGGCCCGCTGAAGCGATCAGAGGTACCGAGAAGGTTTCGCCTAGATGGGCCGAATGAGGTCGAGGTAAAGGAGCGACTCTCCTACTGCCCACCGATATAGCCGAATCGTCTCTCGAACCGCCGGCCGATGTGCCAGTGATAGTTGCAACGCTGGGAATATTTGTCATGGAGTTGCTGGATTGGTATCGCGGACGCGCGCCAGAATGATCAAAGTGCTGTACTTGGGGAACGGATGGTGTTGAAGAGGTACGGTGTTGCCTGAATTGGTGGTGGTGTTGTCCGTGGGTCGAAGCCGGCGCGTTGGTAAAAGCGTATTGTTGCACAGAGCCAGCAGCTGGACGGTACACTACTGGTGCGCCGACGACACCAGACATCCCGTGTATACTGTTTCTCTGGGACATGTTGTGACCATATTGTGAATTTGACTGCGACTGGGCAGGCTGGATGATGCCCGTGGAGGAGACCGGTCTTGTCTGAAGCATGGTAGCAGTCCCGGATTGCCGGGGATAGCCTTGCACCAAAGCAGCCATTGTCAAACCTGAGCGATCTGTCGTCCCGCCGCCGCGAGGTCAATCAGGACGATGAACGGTACTTGTAACTGAACGAAGGAGATGGTGTGATTTCAACGAAAGTAACAGTGGAGCCTTTCGCTAACAAGGAAATCTGGTTACGGCCTGCATTAGCATCTCTCGCGAAACGAAGTTAAGTTTGACAAGAGGAAAATAGGAACAGCGAAATGGCACAGGGGCTGAACTGCTGTCGAAAGGCTGTCTGACAGATTCGCGGATTGGTAGGTTGTGTTGGGAGATGCAGCGCCAGGGCTCTTGTTTTGATTGACGGGACTGCTTGACATTGGACGCAGTGCTTAAGGGGAGAGTGGTGCTGTTCTGTCTGGGGTCCTGGCACTCACCTTTTTCCGCCGCTGATGGAGGCGAGAGGATGTGGTTTCGACCTCGAACGAAGGAGGCCTTGTCGAGGGGATAGGTTTTTGAAAAAAGGTTGGAAGAACGATTGTTACTATAAAGCGAAAGACGCCTGCGACCAAAGGGGGGAGATGATGGGTTGTCTGGTGTTTGCAGGGAAGAAGTCCACTATCACCGTGAACGTTTTGCCCTTCTGTACAAAGTCGAGTCTGTCACGACCCGCCCACAGCGATAAGTGCGATGGAGGATGGACGCAGGTAATGTCACGATTGACACCGGAAGATGGTCGATTATTGGAGCGAAAGCATGGGGGATGACCAGATGTCCGGGCTACTAGAATGGTCGACGCAGATAGGAGGAGAGAAGCGATTCGGTGGAGCTCTCGAAGAGTCTCTCTGGCAGGCGGGCCTTGGATTTCCGCGGTTGTTGCGGAGTGTCGTCGGCCTGGTCTTTTTCCCCTTCCTTTACTGCTTTCGTCAAGCTCGAGAGCAGGAACACGTGCAGACGAACGACAAAAGGAGTTGTTGCGAAGAAGTAATAGACGACAACGAAGTCGCCAAGAGAGCAGATTGAGCGGAAGAGTCGGAAAATGGCAAGAGGTCCACGACCAAGAGGATGGAAGTGGAGGGCGGAAATTCGAGAAAGAAGGGGCGATTTCCAAACGAAGGGCGAGGCACTTGAGATGGAAGTTGAGGTTGGCTGAACTGAGGCCGTTTCGTTACGCGGTATGGACCTAGGTAGTGGTGACTGGTGCTTTTGCTTGTGCCTGGATCAAGTTGTGCTGCTGTTGATAGGTAAGGTAGGCACTCCAGATATGTAAAGGCATGCAGGGAAACACGGGAACCTCTTGTTGCAGGACAAAAGGGTCCGACGAACAGAGTTGATCCAAACCACAACTCTTGTGTCAGGTCAGGGCAGGGCAACCTCAACCACAGCGCGAGAAAAATAGAAGAAAAAAATCCGGGGAAGTAAACGGGCGTCGATTCGACAAGCCCAGACCCAAACAAAAGCGCAGGGGAGATCGAGGGAGGCGGCGCAAGAACGAGAGACTGATGACGATTGAAGACAGATGGGATGGGCCGTGGCGAGACGTAAGGGAAGTTTTGACAGATGACAACTTCACCACTGCGAAATGTCTGTGGAGGAGCGGGCACACGGCGGAGAGTTGCTGGAAGGACGAGACAGCCCTGCCCTGGGTGCCTGGGCATACACAGTAGGGACGGGCGTGCAGGCAGGTGTCAACGAAACAGAACCTCAATGGCCACAGGTGGGCAGGAGAGTGGATGCACAGGTGGATGCCCTGGGACTGATGGGCCGTTTTCTGCTCTCGACTTTCTCGGGAAACGGGCACTCAGAGGTGGACCCGGTTCCCCCTGTCATCTGCACTAGGATATCGGAAATAGTGGAGCTGCTTAGTGCTGCAACGCTCGATACAGTACCTAACAATACCGTTCATGGTAACCGTGACAGCAATTCAATGTTACGCCTCGAATTCTTATTCCACCATCCATCAGTCCATGGATTTCCGTGTTAGTGCTAATTGACGCCGGCCTGATGGCCCTTCGCTCCGGTGTTCACATTCCTGTCTAACAGGGTGTACTTTTCTCAAACAAATCTGTGGATGGCGGGAAGCATGATATGGAAGGTGCCCAGGGATATTGGCAAGAGGTACGATGGATGTACACTGAATGGGTAAGGTAGGTTCTTTCTTTCTCAGAGCTTGTTTCATTTGCTCAAAGGCTGGTGGGAAGTTCAAGACACGCAGGCACCTTTACTTGGCAATATTTTATAGCGTCCAGACGACCGGGTCTAAGAACCTGACACCACTTGTGTTGCGCTTCCATCTTCAATTTCAAACAATTTCAGCAACCGAACATGGCCCACCGGAATGCGAGCACGCTTATTTCCAAAGACATTGGTGAAGATTACATGACGTGGAAGGCACCTTCAGCTTTAAATATATTTCTTGCAATCTCTTCCATGAGGTCAATGCGCCGTCGATTCTTATTCCGGCTGTGGCAGATGTGCTCCTGATCCGTTCTCTTTGCAGTGAAAACATTCGCTGCAGCTGGGTGAGTCCATTCTTGCCTTGCCTTGCCTTGCCTTGCCTTGCCTTGCGTTTACATTTTGCTCTCGTGGTCAGGGGACTCCCGAATCCTATGTCCGATGGATGGATCAGTCGGTCGTTAAACAGCGAAACCGCGATGCCATGTATACACAGCCATTTCAGGAAATCTCCATGGAACAAACGGGGAGGGGCAAGATGTCTACATGTTGTTACATGGCGAGCGCTGCTACTGCAATTCCAACCGCAACGAGCACGTCCGGATTGCAACCTGCTGCAAGTTTGTGGTGCAAATATTGGATATTACCTGCATATGGGCACGGCTCATCGTCGTTCAGTCGAGACGACCAGGGCAAAATGATACAACAAGGTGCTTGAAAGCGGCGGGATAAAACCCGAAAGAAAGGATTCCTTAGAGAAAGACAATGGCAAAACCATAAGGGAAGACGGACAAGCCATCAAGACCTTGGAAATAAGGTAACTTGACTTGGTTGTTTTCCCTTTATTGCCCTTTCCCCGTGTTCTCGCTTGCTCAGAGTAGGGAAAAGCCGCAGCAGTAGGTCTTCGCTACCACCATCTCATTTTAACATGGGCCTCAATTGGCACTTAACAGCCGCTTGATAACGACGCGCAACACGCCCTTGAAGACTCGTCGTCATCATCATGAAAAGGGACATGAAGGGTTTATTTACCCCATGCTGGACCAAACCCCAAAGAGCCCTTTCGCTCTCGGCCTCGGGTATCTTCAACAGTCCATTCTGATGAGGGCATTCGAGCCGGAATGGTGTGATTGGCCAGGCTCATCAGCGCTCCCCATAGCAATGGCATCGCTCCAAGTCGCGCTAACCAAGTCCATTTGCTGCAGCCAATTGTCGCTGAGCTGTGTCCGCAATGTGGTGCGCTGTGCTGGATGGGCATTGAATATCGTCCTTCTGTTGTCCATTCATAGATCTCTTTGCTATCATGATCTGGCCGTGATCAGCTTGGGCTTTGCTATATCCGTTGTGTCAGCAGATAGCAATGGTTATTGTCGGCAATAACATGGTCGACTTCCCGGAACGTGGCAAGAGGAACAACAAAACATGATGAGACAAAGAAGAAACGTGTGGAATGAGCAAGAAGTCCGTCTCCAAACCTTGAGTCCCGGACTGATGCCCAGTTCAATCTCTTGCGAGGTTGCGCGTGAGAGTCCCAGTGTGGGTGGTGGTGCCCCCGCGTTGTTTCCCCAGGCTCATCCAGGCACTTTGCACAGTGGCTGCCTCGTCCATCGAGACCAGGCAAGGGCAACATGAAGGTCGACTAAGTCGCATCGAGCATTCAACCTCCGGGTATCGTGGGATCGCGCGAGCGGAGTATGCAAGAATCGTTTCCCAACGAGCGTCAAGACGCTTGCGCGATTGAAGGCGACGGCAAGTCGACCAGTCAACAATTCTGTGCCCTTCTGCTGCAAGATCAACCATGCCGTTTCTGGCGCTGTGGAAAGAAGAAAGAGGCGCCAGAGGATATGGAGGATATCGTATCGGCTGCCAAGAACACGGTGGGTGGTGCTGTGATGGTGCCGTGGTGGTACCCTGAGTGAGCGCGCAATATGTGACCCCTCTGCGGCCCTACCATCTCTACCACCTCTACCACCCCTCGACCACGTCTGTCCGTCTTTCGCTTCCATCCGGGATACTCAATCGGTCGGCCAGATCTGGATTTCGGCTCGTTGTGTTTCCTTTGTGCGACAGGAATATCGTGATCATCAGGGACGTGGCCAGACGGGTCACCAGGCACTGCCGCGGCTGAATCAGGAACGACGCTCCGGACATTTCGATGATAGGGGGCAACATCCCGATTTTAATACAAGCCGTTTTCCTCACCACACTGATGGATATTGTTGATGCGCAAAGTCAAAACGCTCTTGCTTTTCTCGGCTTTGGCTACAAGTTCTACCGGCCTGCTAATGTAGGGATTTAGATGATGCATTGCGACCGCAGGACAGCGCATGACCGCGCAGCGCCGTAGGCCCAGATGGGAACGGGCAGGTGCGGGAGGGTCAATGCCCTACCGATACGGGCTGCAGTACGGGACGTAAGTTACTGTACTGCAAATACAGCCACGGCTTCAAGTTCCATCTGCATTGGATGTTTCCAAACTCGAACTCATTCAACGTCTCAGCATTCGCCAGCAAGGACAATGCAATCACATTCATGTTCGCCGCGTTTCGCAACGGTAGCGGCAGCTCACTCAGCGGCTCTGCCGATTCCGCTTCCTTCGAGCACATAATATCCGCAGATCTGTTACATTGATCCATCTGCCAGCCACCGATCATCTCGACAAGTAATGTCAATCCCAACGTTTCGACCGGTGGCCGGATAAAACGGTCGTTATCGTGGAACTTTGGGAGTGAAGGAGATTCTGTTCATAGGTACTGTGTACGTTTTCTTTCAATGCTTGACGGTCACAGACGTAGACCTCTAGCCTTGGAAGCTGCCTGTCCTTTACGTATTGTCTCACTTGGGGGACGCCCAGGAACGGGCTCAGGAACGCGAGGGTCCAA